AAATTATTATTATTTTAGAGAAAATCTTGTAGTCAACCATAGATCAATCATCCTGCATAGATTTCAGTTTTGATGTTTAAAATATTTTACTATATTATAATTAATTGTCTTATTATACATAATAAAGGTGGATAAAAAACTTTGATCTTCGAAATTCTAATAAGAACCTTTTTAACTTTATTTTATACGTAAAGATAGACATTTTGTTAAGATTTGAGGTTTTTAAAAAGATTTTATTGGTCGCTCAACGTGTTTTTAGTAATTTCACCAAAAATACCCCAAAAAATAAAAAAACTGCCTTTATTATTCAATTATTGGTCAAATATTTTGATTAGTATATCAAAATAGTTTGATTTTTACTGTAGAATACAAATTTTTTAGTTTCAAAATCTTTAGTCAAAAATTGATAGCTTGGATATCATAATTAATGTCATTATATGGTATATTTCTAGTAAGTCTCAAGTAAGCTTAAAATTAAATTTTTTTTTTATATATGCAATTTGACTGATAATTACGTACATTATAAGTCATATTACTAATCTTAAAAACTTATATCTTTGTTTAAGGTGCAAGCTAAAATATATGATATTTTTGAAAATATTGATAGTTGACGGTTGATCATCAAATACTTTTCAATTTTTTTTTTTTATCAAACAATTTATTTATATGGATTTTATTTGATTAATTTATAAAATTATTTTAGTATTCTCAGTTCAAGTTTTTCAAAATTATTATTATTTAAATCTCGAGTCAGTCAGATAGTTCTAACAAGAATTTTTTTATATTTTGAACAGTAGTATTTCTTTTTTAATTTAATACACTTCTTAGAGAGATGTTTTATTTGTTAAACAATTTTACATTTATGTGTTATGAGTCAGTTTTCGATTGCATCTGTATTAAAGGCTTTGAATAAAAATGTTCACTAATAGATATAAGTATTTTGAGCACACTTTGAAAATTGTAAAAAAATGTAAAAAGATTACATAAATTAGAACTTATTTATAGGAGCTTTTGGCTAGTAATTTTTTTTTTTTTTTTTGACATAATCGGTAGGCGATGAGAATTGATATTTGAGTTTTCCATTATATACTTAAATTAAACTGAAAGCAAATTTTACTAAAAATTTGTGAGTTATGATTGTCAAATGTAATTCAAAATATAGACTAAAAATTGAGTTACAAAGACATTTTACGTAAAAAATGAAATGTTATGGCTTACATTACAGTTTATATTAAAACTGTATTGGTTTTAAAATAATTATATTATAATATAATTATATTCATATCAATATTTATTGATAGTTATTATAGTTATTAAGTTATAAATATAAAGTATTTATCATTAAAGAATAAAATTGATTCATACATTTTTTAAAAAGTTATAGCAACATAATGTAAAAAAATGTAAAATATAATATCAAGAATTTTTTTGAAGATCTCAAATCTTCACAAAATGTCTATTTTAATTTATAAAATAAAGTTAAAATTGTTCTCATTAAATTTTCGAATAACGACTTTTGCTTCGATGCGAAGCTGAGAAGTATTTATTTTACTATGAGGTGTTTATTTATTTTTTTTTTTTTTGTGTGTCTGTTACCACTTTTTCTCAGTTCTCACCAAACCGATTTCTTTCAATGATATGTCAAAAGATCACAAATCGTATCTAATCAATGACATTACCTTAAAAAATTTCCCTGGTTCACCGTAAATGGGGGAAACCTCTAAAAAAATTACAAATTTAAAAATTGCTAGTTTTCGAAATTTTCAAAAATGTTTAAATTTTTTTTACTTAAAACAGCCATAACTTTTTCAAAATTGAACAAATCAATATAATTTTTTTAGTAGATGCATAATATCTTTACTTATCATTTGGTTTATTTTTTTATAAATTTACTCTTTATCTGCCCACAGGGGTGGATTTCAAATGACAACTTTTTTACAAAAAATTAACTTTTTCAACTTGACACTGACACTTTTATATATATCTTAAATTAAAGCTTATGTAATATATTTTATTAGGGAAAAAAAATTTCGGACTTAATTTTGTCTTCACGGTGAAAACGGATATCAACGTCAATAAAAAAATATGATTTTTGTAAAAAAAATTCTTTTTTATATTTTTAACTTTATAATGCTATAACTTTTTGAAAAATGTATAGATCATTATATTTTTTTTGAGATAAGTACTATTTATATTTATATATTATTAATATATATATATTTATTTATTCATATATTACACTTCTAATTCATAAAACTTGTAATCAGAATATAAATAATGGAATAGGAGATCCTGTAGCTTTTGGAATAATCCATTATTTTTTTTAAATTAAACACTGTCTACAGATTTATATCGTATGTATATATGTATATACATACATATATAACTAGCTTATAAAATAGAAAATATTCTAACTAAAAAATTAAAAGAAATATTAAGAAATTAAAATTAAAAATATCAACATTAATTGTTCTTTGACAAATCTTATTCTTTGGGGTATTTCTCTTTATTACTGGGATTAGGGGAAATTTTTCAAAATTATGACGTTGATAGCTTCAATTAGATACATTACATGATGGCGTAGTAATCTTTGAGCAATTTCGGTCCAGTTGAAATGGGTGTAAATGCGTACATGGACACAAGAAAAAATTTATATTAACACGGGAGAGTATAACTAAGAGCTTTTCAGATACGCACGGAAACTAAATTATATTAAGTAAAAAAAAGGGCACAAAATGTAATGATGATAAAATTGTTAACAATAGTAATTTTGAAATTAATATAAAATATCTTCATACTCTGATTATTTGTTTTTCTAGTCATAAATTAAAAGTGATCATTGAATGTTTGAAATTTAACGTAGATCAACAAGGTGACACGAAATAACCTTACAATAATTTCACAATTGCTTAAATGCTATAATTTAATATTTTCTAAAAAGAAGGGTACACTTAAAATATTAGCTGAATGGTTTCTTAAAATCTGTAAAAACACCATTATAACAATAATAAATATTATAAAAGCCATATATCTAATTCAAATTTCAAATAATCAATAAAAAAATTGATATGAAGCCAATATAAAGTTAAGTCGAATTATCATAGGATGACATCAGTAAGTGGCCAAGAAATGTAACATATAAGAAACCGCTTAGGAAATTATAATCTCGAAAAATGCCCATAAGACTTTTTAAAAACACTTTGAGTCACGTTAAAAAGGACAATTTTGAATCGTTTGGGTTTGAGAATATATTTTTATACAAACAGCATATGTGAACGCTAGTCCAAAATTAGAAAAAGTTTTAAAATTTACATTTTTCGGTGTACAAAGTAATTATTTATTCAAATGTATTGCAATACACTCCATACATTTTTAATTGTATAAAAAAATGTATTTTTTATTTGCTAAGACATTTGTAAATAGAACTAATTAAATAAGATTTTATAGCAATAAAAATCAAGTATTTTTCTACGTAGTTGCTATATGCAAATTTTAATTATATTTAATTTGTGCCGATTGTTTTTGCATTAAAGTTAACATTGAATTGAAAAGTTAAAAATAAGTATATCCAAAATACTTTTATGTTTTAACATAATAATATGTGGTACTTAGATATATATTTAAAGTGTTTTTTAAGCATAAATCATTATTTTCATTCCTTTAAAGAGAATATTTAATTGATCATTGTATATAATCGGCAATAAAGAACAAATGTTTATCACCGAAATGTTTTTTAAATGCAACCTGATTACACTAATAAATAATCCGAAAAAACTCATGCAAAAGTATGATATTTTTAATGTACACGTTAATTTTGTACACAAGATGTGTAATTTTAACATAAAGTACCGAAAATTCTTACACAAATACAATATTTTTATAACTATTTATTAAAATTGTACTTTAAAATGTTTGCGTTAAAAACTTCTAATTTCTTTTATACGTGAAAATTCGGACTTTTTTTTTAAGAGTGTGGTCAATAATACTTCTTGCCTTGATACTTGATAAGTAAAGGGAATCACTTCCGTTGCGTTAGTCTATGATTTCGCATCCTCTCTACTCCAAATAGCTTTTTAGAGAGAATATTAAAAATAAATAAGTAGTAAAATTATTTTTATCTTAAATATTTTATTAAAACTTGGTCCCATAACCAAATAATTAAAATAGGGTTGTTATCTTTGGATAACAAAGCGTAAAACTGGATATATATGTATATATTCATATTGAATCACATATTCAAAATTGGAAATCCTTTGTTGTTTAGTTTTTACTATAGGCGTTATTATTCAGCATGCCGTGAAAATATATTATTATTAAGGGTTCATGTTAAAATAGGTAAAGTATTTAGGTAGAACCAACTAGGTTGGGTTTACTAGACCCCAGTAGGCGAACTACTATTTTCTATGTCGCGCTACAACTGCACTACAAATTAAAAAAAATATAGGTTAGCTATTGTTTTTTCTACTTCCAACTAAAAATTGAAGAATAAAAGCAAGTAAAACTGTTACTAATAATTCTATTAATAGAAAAGTATTTTTTCAGTTTCAATAAAATTTAAAGTAGTTACTCAGTCTCGATACAAAACAAATTTATAAAGTGCTAAAAATCATAATATTAACTATTGTCTTCAAACAGAACTAGTGCATTATATTAACTATAGTTTATATAATGTACTAGAAGTGTTACCAGAAATTTTTAACTAAGGAACAGAAATTAAAAGAAATTTTTAACTACGAATAACAGCTAGTATACTAGTTGTTATTTGTATATATTTTATTTAAAATTTACTACCACTCTTTTGTGTATGATGATACAATTGAAAGTAGCTAAAACACTGTCGATTGTTAATATGCTTATGCTCATTAAAAATAAAAAAGAATAAACTATATTTTTTCTATTATTTTAGTATAAATAGATGAATTGTTTCTTGTTTCTGTAAAATTATGACCAAAACATAAATTCAAAAGTTTTATAATTAAAACAATTTTTTTTCGTTTATTTAATCAGCTATTCAATAGAGTGGCATTCTATTTTCATTAATTATTTTTCGTTAACAATACAATTTTAACGCTTCTAAAAATGTAGCGAATTACTGTAGTTATGCTACAAGTGTCACGCTATACGATTTATTTTTTAATATGCAAAAATTGTACAATAATAAAACTTAGCAAATAAAACATTTAATTAAATACACATATAAAATTTTCATAGTTATAAAATATTTTATTGCTCATGATTACTTAGACTCTGTCTTAGAGTATAACAACAATTTCAAACACTAAATTACAATTATATGATAAAACAATGATAAAATATCTAAATTCAATGTTATTTTAATATAAATAAATAATTAGGTGGTTTTTTGTCATTGATGAGACTTATCTTTGTGATATACTATCAATAAATTTTCAATATTTCGTAAGATTTTAATTTATTGAGTCCATAATCGAATTGATATCCATAAATTCGTCTAAGATTATTGTAATTTAATTTTCCCTTGTAAAAAGTCAGCGACATCTATTGGTTGAAACGAATTGAAATTCATAAACGTTTTATTAAGAACAATAACGTTGGGTTCAGCTGACGTCATTGATAGTTTTATTTTTAGTTTCTGGTAAACACAAGTAAAGAAATATTGCACCTGTACCGGCAACTGCGCCAAATATTGTAAAAGTCATAGAAGTACCAATGTTTGCCAGCATAAGAGGACTAAACTGAATGACTAAGTAAAACATAATAAATCCAAAGCTTGTCGATAGACCACTTCCAAGTTCACGACAATACGATGGAAACATCTGTAAAATATAATTCTTATTATAGGAATAAAAATTAAACAATTATTTTCAAATCAAAATAAATTAGTATTTAATATACGTGATTGATTTTTTTTTAATCTAAAAAATTTCGTAAGAATAGCACTGTACATTTATATATAAACATTAATGAGTGTTTAAACATTAGTATGAAATAATGTTGTATAAGTTCAATTTCCATTAGTAAACAGAGTAAGAAAATATAATTGTGTCGAGTATAAAATAGAATAGTAAATCGAGTATTAAGGCATTACGATAACAATTGTACGCGCATGTATATATAGTTGTCTACTCACTTCTCCTGCCATTATCCATGGTAATGGAACGAGACCTATATTGACAAACAACATGTACGCAACAATAGACAGCAACGGTATAATGTTGAAGTTCGGAGACGTAATAGGAGATGCTGTTGCTGCTTTGATAATAGAAGGCGCGTTGTTTTGGACGGATACTGCCAAACACAATAGTGAAATTGATGTACCTGCGGCTGAGATGACTGCCAATGGACGCCTGCCGAATTTTCTCGTAAGACAGCAGGCAAGGATAGACACGGCAAGTCGGATGACGTCCAAAGCTATCGTAGAATAGTATTCGTTCAGCTCGGGGCTAATGCGTCTGAGCAAAGTCACGGAATAGAAAGCGACTGCGTTTACTCCGGAGAATTGTTGAACAAAGAAAAAAGTGACCAGCACTACGAGTGGCTCGAGGAATGACGTTCGGCCGATGCATTTCCAAAAGTTTGGTTTTTGTTCAGCGGTCACTGTCGGCGATGTTTTTTTATAGCAGTCGACTGAAGTGATCGGCTTGCCAGACAAACGGCTGTGAGCCCGTTCCGCCGATTCCACGAGACCCTTTTCGCGTAACCATATAGGCGATTCGGGCGTGAACCATATTATCAAATAGCCGGCGAACGGGACCAATGAACACAAAGCCGACACTAATCGCCAGTCAAGAAATGTGCCCATTGTGTGCACTGCAAGAATGCCGGCCGATATCGAGAAAGATATCATAGCAAGAGCTGCGCCCCTGTATTGCGGCTCGGTAACTTCGGCTATATAAACGGCCGATGGAGGGCCCATCATTCCTGTGCACAGGCCAGTCAATAGACGGCCTACAAATACAGCAGGCAAGCTTTTGGCTAGCGACACTGCGGCCCAGCCAATAACAAATGGTACACAAATCAACAGGTTGGTGGTCTTTCTTCCCATTTTGTCCATCGAAATGCCTCCCAATACGCTACCTGCTGCCATAGGTAGAGCTGCCATGCTAGCTAAAAAATCAATTAATTCAGTATTACAATTTTTGTTAATTATCGAGTTGTCTAGATGGACATTTTTTTGCTTAGGATTCTGACCACAGAGTTGGCCGATGGGGTAAATTGTTGACAAAATAAGTACAGCTAATTGGTATTAATTTTGTATTAAGAAATTTTTAACAATTTATAAATTCAGAATTATTAATATAAATTTTTTAAATGCATAAAGTGACAACTAGTGAAAAGTTTTTGTACAAATCATTAATCAAATAAAATAGCTATTCCGAAATTAGTAAAAAAACTTGATTCAATGAGATTTTATAAGAATTTAAAATTGAAAAGAATTTTAGAGTTTTGACATTTATTAATTGAACTTTTAAGATTTTTAATTAACTTTATGTCGACTAAAATCTGTCTTGAAATTTTGAATACCCATACCAGTGGTGTTAAATAATCGAATTAATACTGAACAAAAATATTTGTTGATTATTTAATATTTGTATTGTTGAATGATCACTATTATAATAAACATAAACATATAAAGTATAATGTATACATGGTATATTTTTATTATGTTTTAAATGGTTCGTATTTCAGAGGAAACGGTTTAGATGGCTAAAAAATCAACATTTTTTTCTTTATGTCATAAATTTTTAGTATAACTATCAAAGAGTTTGTTTCCAAAGGTTAAAAGAAAAATTTCGATTCGATCTTACGAGGGTATTTAAATGAGCATCCCCCCTAATATGGCGGATCATATGGTATCTAAAATCAGACTGTCATTGTGGTAGTCTTTTATGAATTAACATTGGCAAGCTGAAAATGAAGCTTATGAAGGATTACTCTATGAGACTGGAATCACTGATTAGCCAGTAAGTAATAAAAAAAACATGATTACTGTCTCAATTTTGTTGTTTTGAACAATCTTTTTTTTTAACGCGTTTTTCTCGAAATAACTTAGAATTTGTGTATATTCTAGCTTAAAAATTTTATGACCAATCATTTTAATAATTAGCAGATACTTGCTTTATATAATTATTCACTATGCGAACCTAAATCCTTAGTCATATCATTGCTTTATAAATTTTTTAATTGCAAAAAAAGTTATGAAAAATATCAAAATCGATGTATCTCGTGTATACACACATCTACAAAATTTAATTTTCAATTTTTTTTGGTGCAATTAAGTTTTTATAGAAGAGACATATTTTATTTAACTTAATTTGAAACCTTATTGATTTTGAATGAAAACTAGATAATGTACAAAAACAGCTACTTTTGACAGTGATGTTCCATGAGCAGCTACTCATATCTNATTGCTTTATAAATTTTTTAATTGCAAAAAAAGTTATGAAAAATATCAAAATCAATTTTTTTTGGTGCAATTAAGTTTTTATAGAAGAGACATATTTTATTTAACTTAATTTGAAACCATATTGATTTTGAATGAAAACTAGATAATGTACAAAAACAGCTACTTTTGACAGTGATGTTCCATGAGCAGCTACTCATATCTTCCATGTATTTTGTAAACTTATAGGTTTAGATTAAGCTATTAAGAGATAGCAGTTTTAAAAAATTCATTAGGGTATTTTCCCTACCAACAAGAATGTGAAATTCCGATCAGGAGATTTTCAACGAACAATATAAGAAAAACATTTTTTTACGCGTCAAGTTATCTACGGATTCCATTCGACTTAGCACATGGCAAAGTAAACTGATGACACATTTTGTTTTTTAATGACAAGTTTTCTGTCATTCATCAATTCTCTTGTAAACGACATGAGGTCGCTTTTTGCCAACTGTATCCCTCTTTTACCGCTCGCCTTCCTTCCTTTATTTATTTATTAACGCTTTGTATCGGAGAGTATTTGCTGGTTTTGAGAGCAAATTTAACACACGACGAATTTGATGGGGATGACTTTGAGGGATTGAAGGCGAGACAGGGTGTATTTTTCAACCCAGATAAATGTTTAAAAGTACAATGTGGGCTTGCAACACAACACAATGGTCATAAAGAACTATTACCCTTTCGTTTCTTGATTCTACATTATATAGAGTTTCACGTTTTTGTGACATCTATTGATTTATGGTATAGTGTAGAAATCATTGGTTTTAGTTAGTAACACAATTATTCATTTCTATTTATCATACAAAATAAAATAAAATTACTTTTTAATTTTTAATTACAATTCAATTTTGATTAATATTGCCTATGAAATGTCTTATGAAGTTATGTTGCCTAATATAAACTCCTTATATAAATTTGCACTTTTTTCTGTACTACCATACAACGCTTGTATTAATCTCATTATATCGGTATTTCAATTTTGTATTTAGTTCTTATTTTTTAAGTTCCATGCTTACTTTAGTATTAGAATTATTCTATTACTTATCATTAATTACTTTCATCGTGTTTAATGTTCCCTCTAAAAGCTATTGCTTGTACCAGAGTAGACAGGAACACCTACATAATCCAACGGAATCAAACCCTGATACACATGCACCGAGGCACGACGTGTTACCAACTGAGCTAGGTAGGCCATCTAATTATATGAAACAGACTTGATGTCTGTATCATATATTTTCAGGAGTTTTAAATTTTTATGGAATTTGGCTAAATAAATTAATAAATCTAAGTAAATAAATTTTGTAATTTCACAAAACTTGATCAACTTTTGAAAACAGCGAAAAGATCATAATTATGTTTAAAAGTAAATAAAATTAACCAAAACTAAGTAATTTTATATCAAAGCAATTTTTATTCAAGTCTGTGTAAATTTATGGGCTATATACTTGTAGACAGAATCAAACTAGAAGCATTAGTGTTATGGATATGGAAAAAAATTACAAAGGAAAAGTGGATAGACGAGAAAAGAAATGAGCAAGTTCCAGAAAAAGTACGAGAAGAAAGACAGGTAATGAAGGTGATTGAATCAAGAAAAATAAAGTTAATCGGACACATCATCCGACACAATGGTTTTATAATCAACATATTCGAAGGAAAAATAACTGAGAAGAAACCAAGTGGACGCCCAAGGAAACATTATTTTGAAAATATCTTGGAATTCACGAAATGCGCGTCTTTTGTTTCACTGAAAAATTTGGCGTCAAACAGAAAGGAGTTGCTTCAACGTTGTTGCCTTTAATAGACGATGATGACACTTAAGATGTATACAGAATTATAAAGCATTTTACTCACCGATTTGTTTATCATTATTATTGTTATTATTACATTCATGGCTATGTTTCTAATTAAGTTTTAAATTGGAATGATTTTAATTGAAAAATTTAAACAAGCAATTACTTACAGATAACGTTCAATTTTGGGTTGTATGAATCATGGTTTAAAAGTAAATTAATTTTTTTAACTATTGTTGATTCATGCGTTCTATAATAAAAACTAAATAATAATGAATGTGATGCTCAATAGGTATAAACGTGTATACTTGAAGAGGATCGAATAGCCTTTGTGTACAACAGTTGAAACATTTAATCCTTTTGAGTGGGCACCGTATGATTAACTATATTGTTTGCTCAGTTAAGCCACATCGGTATAGCTTATAAGTGCGCCAAACGATTTCGAATATTGGTAACCCTTGTCGACGTTCATATTAATTTCAGTAAAACTAGGGATTAAAATGTTTTCGAGTGGTTTCTATATGCTGAATAATAGACTGTACAACTGAATGGTAGAACTGAAAGAAATAGCTTGAAATATAAACTAAATAATATACTACTGTCTGACCTTAGGCGTCTAAGTTATCATCTTTTTTAAGTTCGACCGTCAGAATTTTAGTAAAATTAATAATTTCAACTTTTATTTCTGTTGCGAATACTTTTATTCGGCATAATTTTTTAACGATTGATTTTTAGTAATTTAATTCTGCATTGCCCGTACAATTCACGTGATATTGTTGATAATTGATTCATAGGAAATAAATACCAAATCGAAATTATGCTCACCTATCCAAGATTCTTGACTGCTATCGATTCTGATAGCCGAATGGTCGTCCTTGAGTTGCGGTAACAACACGGCAGAGAAACCGACGGTCATGCCTGAGCCCAGTGTCACGATCAAAGGCCCTGACGCAGCAAACATCTGTAAAGAGTTTTTTGTTATTATTCGTTACTGGATAATGTGGAATACACTTGAAAATCATCGCGTACACACGACAAAAGAGTTACCACAAAAATACTCGGGTCCCGTTAAAGGAAATATCAAAATGTTATGAATCGCGAAACGTTCAACTTAAAAATATAAATAATAATAGAAAATCACAATTTACCTGTTTGACTACAGGAGGCACGTTAAGTTTAATAAACATTTTGGTTAGGTATTTTATGTTACAAATGTGTTTCTAGATTGTAGAAGTAGAACTATCGTCATAATATCATAGTCATAGTATCCGATGGCATGTCATTAGCAATGTGCACAATTATGACTTAAGTGAAGTGGATGGTAATCAAAATGATGTTTTTTTCTGTTGCAAATTGCTTGATGATGCTTATTCTTTTCATAACACCTTAAAAATAATGATTCTCATTCAATGTAATTTCTTGTAACATTTTTTTTTTTATAAATGCTTTAATTGTCATTGTCGTCTCATCTCGATGGAGTCGTGCAGAGTTAAGTTTACACGACTATCATTAAGTATAGACAACATTTCTAGTGGTGTATATACCTAAAAACAACACCTAATGATTTATATGTAGTGTATATAATCCCATGGTCGATCAAAGAGTAATAATTATTGGGATACACGTCAAGGTCTCGGTCAAAAGATCATTGTATTACCGTGGCACGTACAATCTCAGAATTTGTTTTTTTTTAATCCTTCCTTATATTAAATTACAATTGTTTTTGATACATATTTTAAAAACTCCGGGGATCTGTATGCAATTATCAAGTCAAGATAACATCTGTTTTTACCTTGGCAAACAATTCAATTAAAAAAAAAGTCATATAAAGTGTATATAAAAATAGTATTTTTTTCTATCGTGAACGTTTTTTTTTTTATTTACATTTTCTATGTATGTAATCGATTTCCGGACGACTAAGTGAAAATACTTTAGAAATGTTTACAATTATTTTAAGTAAAATATTAACGAAAAATCTAAAATACTGTTTAAATAACTTTTTAAAGTCTATCATCATAAGATCATCGTCTCTAATTTTACTATTCGTTTTGTATTCAATAAAACTTTTATTACAAACTTAACCAACTGTACATATTTTACATAGTTATTTTGAAATTTAAGAAATTGTAAATTATTGTAAAAAATATAATTTTAAAAGTATTTTTTCTAGGGAAACTGCAAAACACATATAATTTAATATTATAGCTACCAGATTGCTAATCAGCTATTAAAAAATTGTTCCGTTCTATCACATATCAACTGTGTCATATAAATTACAGAAAAACTCAAACATGTGTCGTAAATCGCTATCATAATTTTCTCGTAAAAGTGAAACGTAACAGTATTATCATTATAACATTGAATATCAATTATTATGATAGTTTACGAAATTCTAACGGGTTTCCATAGGTCCTAGACCTAATTGATTCGTTCTCAGACAGCGTTAAAAGTTATGTAAAAGCAAAATGCACACCAAATACAACTACTACAATAGTGAAGCAGAACTGATTGATATAACAATTCAATTGAGTTATTAGGCTGCTACTGTAAACTGTGTTTTTACTAAAACAAAAATTTTAATTTTATATAATTTTTCTAAGTTACAACTAACTGGTAATGAGTGGAAAATCAATATACTTCCTGGTAGCACAAAAAGTAAAGTATATATCTATAGGTTTCTAATGTGAAACATATAGTTGTATCAAATTGTTATAAATACTTATTGTTTCAAATGGTTTTAATGCGTTATAATACTTTCTAGTCAATAAACAGAAACGAATATTTAAAAAAACATATTAAATAATATAAATGATTTTGGTGATAACAGCGCATATTACATGCTTAATTTTAATATTGAAAATAAATTATCTAAGAAAATTCAACTAATAATTTCTACTTGAAAGTATAGTAACAGTTTACCTTAATTTGGATTGTTAAGGACATCAAATATTGAATAATTTCATCTAAAATCACTAAATTAAATTTACCGTAAATAATAAAAACAATCTATATATTTTTTTGATCAAAATGTTTACATACAAAATACTTAATGTACTTGGTATGCGGCGCACTCGGTACTTGTCTTTGGCAAACGTGCTGCCCGACGAATTCAAACTCGCGCTATCACTCGAACGTCCCTCTCACCAAACCGGCTAGACGTTTGCCCCTACAAAGTCCCCTCCTAATAAAGTAATTTTGTTTTTCGGATAAGTAAAACGTTTCTAATAAACACTTAAACTAAATTATACTAGTATTCACGTATAAAAAAAAAATCTACAATTATCACAGATTTTGATGTGTTCTTTTTCTGATGATTAACGACGATGAAGACATTTATAAATAGCACAATATACAACACTGGCTTGGCTATTGTAACGGACCGAGCATAATTATTTTATGGCAATTATTTACTTTTTAGAATCGACTGTGTCAATGCATCGGTAAATACTACATTTGAGTAACTAACTGCTGTATTAACTAATGTCAGGTGGTATTTAAAAAAAAAAAACGACCAACACGACTCGCAGCTTGCATTATGTTCGGACAATTGTATAGGATTAATGTGTTCGGTTTTGTTTAGAATCAAATAAGAAACTCTGTCGCCAGCATGAATGGATGTTGTGTAATTGATATTATTCATCGGATAAACAACATTATTGTTCTGTTTATTTTGTGTGCGAGATGATTTCTAATTATTATTACCGACTGTTGTCATACTCGGTGACAACGCAATTACAATAATTAAAGCCAATTACTTGCATTACAGTCGGCAACGGCACGCAGTTGATAAACGAGCCGAGATCGAGCTCGACAAACGCATTTGGCCTGTTGCGTATGGACATTGGCGTATTTTTTTATGACCAAGCAAAAACGGAAACTGGAGGTTTCGGTCGCAGCAGGACTAGGTACATTGCGGGATAGTCTGCCACACAATGGCACGTGATGCAACAGTATAGCGGAAACGTTTTTTTCGGCCAACAAACTAGACCAATAAACTCATAGCCGGACGCATTGTGTTTTTGCGTGCAGCTACCGTGCTACCCAAACGCATACACAATCCGCATTCGAATACCACAGGCCTAAATACACAAAAACTGCCATTGTGCTCGACCATATTACATTAGAGCGCATCCCGTGCATTGGCGAATACCGGTAGCGTTTTCGGTAGCATATACCATTTGGTGTAAAAAAAAAAAAAATACCGTCCAGGACAATATAATAACATCCTCTATTTGTTCCTACAGTCTTTTGTGAGTGCGACTATTTTTTTTTTTTTTTCTTTTGTAAATTTCACGGCTATTTCGTGTGTGTGTGTGTTAAAAAGTGAAAATATCCCTTGGGTGGTTACAGTAGCTGCACCACACAGCGCACGCAGGGCATTACATGTAAAAACAACCAAGGCAGTAGTTCGAGGTTTATCTAAAAAAAAAAAAATAATAGTATCGCCCACACATAATATCACTGAATGAACCCAACAAAATTTGTAACAGACCTATGTGCGTTACGTAAGCGTCGAAAATTTGATAATCGCACAAAACGTACAATAATGTCTGTGAAAATATAAACTACCCAAATGTAAATCTGATCCCAAAATGCCTTTTTATATAGTTTATTCCATTTTTTTTACTCGGAGTTCATTCGAAGGTTTATTTTTATTTGCGCAACTCTCGGATTACATAATAGTACACAAACAAATGAGTGTAAAAGAAAAAATTGATACGCTTATATGAGTGCATATCATGTACCTGTCAGTTGCAAAAAAAAATATCCTGTATAAATGTTCACTACTTTATAGGAAAATATATGTACAATAGCAAGTAATATGTTGTAAAACGAAATAGAAGGTACTTATTTGTAATAAAAACGTTTACATTTTTTGAGAGAGCATCGATTTTAAATATATATATATATTTAATAAAATTGTCGAGTATCTGAGAAATGAAACCCGTTCGTGTCGGACTGGGTGTTCAAGACGTTTTAAGAAAAAAAGCGGACGAGGGTAAAAAATGAAATGTTGACGTAAATGTTTTCTATTTTGCAAAAANAATATGTTGTAAAACGAAATAGAAATAGAAGGTATTTGTAATAAAAACGTTTACATTTTTTGAGAGAGCATCGATTTTAAATATATATATATATATATTTAATAAAATTGTCGAGTATCTGAGAAATGAAACCCGTTCGTATCGGACTAGGTGTTCAAGACGTTTTAAGAAAAAAAGCGGACGAGGGTAAAAAATGAAATGTTGACGTAAATGTTTTCTATTTTGCAAAAAATTATAATATAACGAGAAAACTAAAAAGATTTTAATAGATTAAAATCTATCGATTACAAAATTCTTGGGGTGGCCTTTAGCTTTTACACATTTTGCAAGTTTAATAATAATTACGTATGTCATATTTATTTTAGAAAATCTATAAAATTTAATAATACGGTTATTTGTAGTTAAGCTAATTCAACACAAGTGTAGGTTCTCCCAAATTTATATTGTAAACTAATAATTTATATACAGCTATAAAATAATATAATGATTAATGAAGCCCATCCTAGTTGAAAGTACGTATGAACATTTACATATTTCAACTTAATATCATTGTACATATTTTATTTAAAATTTTAACCAATTTGTCGATAAANCATTGTATATATTTTATTTTAAATTTTAACCAATTTGTCGATAAAATGAATAGTTAACATGACTATGAAAAAAATGTTCAACATTTTAATAGATTTACACTCCCTTTGTAGTGTGTGAAATATTTTAAGTACAAATTAAATATGAACATTTTTAAAATTTAAACAACTGAACTACTTGTTACAATAATTGTCTAATGATATAAAAGAACATTAATAAACTAAATTTATGTATTTACTTAAAAATGTTTTAATATTAAAATAAACTTGCCTGTATTACTTATAATTTTGAATTTAAAAACACTTGCAATTTATAAGCATAATAATTTTAGATATTTTTAACAAAAAAAATATTAAGTAAAACTATATAGAACTTTTAGTAACTAAATTATTTATTGAAGAACCTTATTACTTTATATTTTATAGATCTCTACTTAGCATTCAGACGACTTCTAGCTGATTTTGAAGACGAGCCTATTAAAATTATTCTAATCCTAAAAAACTTACATTACACTTTAATATCAGTTACTAAATAATGAGAAATTTCTTCGTGAAAGCATCTTGAAAATAACAAAGTTTGAAATGCAACCATTTGTTGCTAACTTATTAGAAATACACTCCATTCTGATATAGTTTTATATAGACATGAATGATTTTACAATTGACAAAATGAATATAATAGAAAGTACGCAGTGATCCAAAATTTAAAAAAAGGTGGCCAAAAATCATATACTGAATATTATAACCGTATACCTTTTTCAATGAGTAAAAAGTCAATGTCTAAATGAGATATATTCATATATGTCTTTTAAATATTTTTTAGAATCGAAGTTTAATATGAATTTTGAAATAAGAGACCTTTTGTTAAGTGGTATTTTTTTAAAAATAATTTAGAAACAAGATTTGAAAGCGTTTTCAATACGCTAAACACGATATAACTGTAAAACAATAAACGTTAAAATATTAANTTTAGTAACTAAATTATTTATTGAAGAACTTTATTACGTTAAATTTTATATAGCCCTACTTATCCTTCAGCCGATTTCTAGCTGATTTTGAAGATGAGCCTATTAAAATTATTCTAGTCCTAAAAAACTTACATTACACTTTAATTTCAGTTACTAAGTAATGAGAAATTTATTCGTGAAGACATCTTGAAAATAACAAAGTTTGAAATGCAACCATTTGTTTCTAATTTATTAGAAATACACTCCTTTCTTATATAGTTTTATATAAGAATGAATGATTTTACAATTGACAAAAAGTATATAATAGAAAGTACGCAGTGATCCAAAATTTTAAAAAAGGTGGCCAAAAATCATATACTGAATATTATAACCGTATACCTTTTTCAATGAGTAAAAAGTCAATGTCTAAATGAGATATATTCATATATGTCTTTTAAATATCTTTTAGAATCGAAGTTTAATATGAATTTTGAAATAAGAGACCTTTTGTTAAGTGGTATTATTTTAAATATAATTTAGAAACAAGATTTGAAAGCGTTTTCAATACGCTAAACACGATATAACTGTAAAACAATAAACGTTAAAATATTAATAAGATTTTTCTAGTAATATCATTAAATAAATAAGGTTCCAAAAATTACAGCCATAGTTTGATCTACTATCATACTGTTATAATATTTTTCAAACAAAGTTAAAACATAATATAATAACTTTGTATAATATAATTTAAACTACTGTAAAAAAAGAATATATATATTAAAAATACATTTATTTCATAAATGTAGAGATGTTGTTGATGGTTTGAATTTGAATTTGATCAGTAGCTATTCGTTGATCTTAGCGAGTAATATATATTGCAGAATCATCTGCAAACATAAAGGTTATTTAGTTAGTGTCAGTCAGAATATCGGCTGTGTAGAGTAGGTACAAGATAAGATCTACTTTACACGGTCGATATACGATTTTTATTTGTATTTGTATATATACAAGGAATTCTACAATCTTANTCTTTTAGAATCGAAGTTTAATATGAATTTTGAAATAAGAGACCTTTTGTTAAGTGGTATTATTTTAAATATAATTTAGAAACAAGATTTGAAAGCGTTTTCAATACGCTAAACACGATATAACTGTAAAACAATAAACGTTAAAATATTAATAAGATTTTTCTAGTAATATCATTAAATAAATAAGGTTCCAAAAATTACAGCCATAGTTTGATCTACTATCATACTGTTATAATATTTTTCAAACAAAGTTAAAACATAATATAATAACTTTGTATAATATAATTTAAACTACTGTAAAAAAAGAATATATATATTAAAAATACATTTATTTCATAAATGTAGAGATGTTGTTGATGGTTTGAATTTGAATTTGATCAGTAGCTATTCGTTGATCTTAGCGAGTAATATATATTGCAGAATCATCTGCAAACATAAAGGTTATTTAGTTAGTGTCAGTCAAAATATCGGCTGTGTAGAGTAAGTACAAGATAAGATCTACTTTACACGGTCGATATACGATTTTTATTTGTATTTGTATATATACAAGGAATTCTACAATCTTATGACAAATCGCCACAAAAAAGTAGGCGAATTTGTCAGAACTTCTTTAGACACTCTATGTATTACATCATCATCAACATCCATTAAAGGCAATGCCTTGTCGTTGAAATATATATATTTATTAGTATACCATATGCATTTAACTATATTGATTAACATTTATTATAATCTCAATAAAAAAAGTGCCCTGAGGCAATATAACAAAAA